TATCAAGGTCATCTGAGGTGTATCTATACCTCAAATCTCCATTGATAGTTCGTCAGGCTCGCTTAGGGAGTTGGATTTGACTATAATTGTTGTGACTACCTTGAAGGCAATTGTAACATTTTTGGAAACTTTAGGATCGCCCCTGATTTCACTCACTCCCCACTTGGTAGGAAACCTGATTGTCCGATGGAATGTGGTGGATGGAATGACTATCATGTCATGGATCCAAGGTCGGCCATGACAACATTGTAGGGGGAGGGCAGGTCAAGACCAAGAAAATATTTGACGATTCACACCGCAAGCATAGACAAGTAAAACAATCTCACCAATGGTATATTTTGCTCTGAGCTGAACCCGACTAGGATGGTTGGGTGTTACTTATGTCAGCTTCATTAACCCATCATCTTCATTGCTTCCAAAAAAAGTATGTTGGTTGAGGATCTCCGTCTTCCAAAATTTCCTAAACGAGATATGGCGATCTGAGTTAATCACTAGGGCATCATGGTATATACGATTAGGGTGATAGGGTCATCGTCTTCAAATTGAATGATCTGTTTAAGGATGGCTGCATGGGTAGATGTGATGATGGACATCTGGTGGTGGTTGTTGGAGCATGTCTCTTTGTCGATGAATAATTGACCCACTAATACTAAGCCCTCGGATAGATATTAAGAATCCCTTGGTTTGGACTTGGGAGGGGGGACCGCTCATTGTTACTTCTAGTTCAGGGTTACTTCCCTTGTCAGTCGGTATATCTCTCAGGTGCACTTTTTAGCAGTGCTGCGACCTCCAGTCTCAAACCGATGCAATCAGCATGTTGTGTTCGTGATCATGGTCGAACTTAGACCATTTGAAAGTGTTTCTCTTGACGTTTGGTCTAACTTAGCTGGATATTTGACAGTCTGCCCATATCTTTCATAATTGCCATTAGGGGGCAATGTGAGGATGTAATCTGGAACTTTGAACAATGTGAGCTAGATGGGTGTCTATTTGGGTAGGCAGGCTGTCTATCATACGGTTTTCTATGTGATGGTTGGGGCCACGAGACTGAGTGGGATAATGTGGTCATAAAAGTGAGCTTTGGACGCCTGTCATTAGTTTTGGTTGCGATCATCATAACAGTTATGTCACATCTGGTTGGCTTCATCCTTTCCATGATTTGGATTATGCCAAGCCAATGCATCTTCCGTTGTGTTTGTCGAGTTGGTAAGGTCTTTTTAAACTCGCCATCAAGCAGGAAGGGATGGGGATTTTCTCCTGTTTGAAGCGACTAACATACTCTCGCAGGGGTGTCGCCTTCTTTGGTACACTCGATATAAATTGGCTGATAGCTTCTCCAGTTTTTTGCTGCTGGCAAATTGCTCGACAAGGTGTCGATCAGTTGAGCAAAAGAGCTTATGGTGTTGTGGGGAGATTAGTGTACTACTGTAAAGCCGTCCTAAGAGGTTGGAACCGAAGCTCTTGCACATTAGGCTTCCCTGAGATATTTGGTATACTTATACGAAGCTATGCGATCATCTGGGTCAGTTGTCCCATATATGGTTCATGTTGGGTATAATGAATTTACATGGATTTCGCTAAGGTATTGAATCCAAATGGGGACTGCGTAGTGTAAGGCAAGCTTTTTCGGTGAGGTGGGCACCTAGTATGCATCTCATCATGGCCTTTTTATTGGCTACTTTTCTGCCAATATTGCTCAAGAGGGGTGCCTGTGGATAATAGTGTGCATCGATTTGGTTGTATACTTGTGACACTTGGTGCGCCAAGGTGAGTCGCATCATAATGTGTGGATTGCAGGTTTGCTCCATAATGGTTTGGTTGGGAATTGGAGAGTATCATTGCTCATTTAGGTTGAGTGAGCCCCAATGTGATCGAACAACTATTCCGATCGCATGAATGACACAGAGTGTATTTTAGGGATGACTAAAGCTACAAGGATGGTTATACCAGGATGGGTTGTTGGGCGTATGTTGTTCGCTGACCCATAGAGGAGAGCCGAGCCTAAGAGTTCGCAGTACGGGTTATCAGTCAGGTTGGTAGGGTGTGGTGACAATAGTGGCTGATGTCTGAAACTGTGGTTTTGGATTGTCTAAACAATGGGTTCAGTGTGAGGGGGGTCAACTGAGAGAAGATGTTTGTAAGGAGGATCAGTTACTGGATTGTGTAAGGTTGAGCCATCTGTTAAGGACGACTAGATATGGGAGGATTGCAGATCTCTGTTTGAGCTTCCAAGGTCAGGGTTGACAAGTTTTGCATGAGCTTATCGAGACGCGAAAGCAATTCCTGAGCACCTGATCATGAGGAAGTCAAGTGAATAAAACTGAGTTACCTACTCTCGTAAAGTTGGTTTTTAGTCCGGAGTTGGCTTTCTCGGCCTCTAATGCTGCCACCTTACCACCTTCTTGCATCATGGTCGTTAAGCCTCGATATTTAAGAGGTCTGTGGGAGCCTTGTCTATCATCTCAGTCCTGATTGATTCCCTTGTGGAGTAGAGTAAAGGAGTGTTGATTACCAAAGGCACTATGTTGGGCGCTGAGAGAGTGTAATTTAATATTTTATTCCTTCCATATTATGTTTTTTGTTATGTTTATGCCTAATTGAGTTGATTGAGTTTATTTGTGTTGGCAATTGGATAGACTTTATAAATAATTGAGAAAATATTAGGAAATTCCAGAGTTTTGTTTATTCTGACCAATGCTGCGTTTTCAGGTTTTTCATAGAGTCAGATTTCTCGATTGCAAAAGGGTTCAGGGAAAGTAAAGTAGACAAATCAAGCATTCCAGGAAGGTATTATGGGTGAGAATCCGAGTTCGTTTGTGTCCTCATTAGTTGTTGCAAAGCCGGACCTGGAATCCTACTCGCGGAAGGATTTCCTAGCTGAGTATGAGTCTTCGAATGGCCTACTGTAGCTTTAGATATCGAAAGAGGTGATTCAAAAGCCAAATTCATCTACACATCCAGGACTACAACTTTTATGAAGTGACCAAGCCACAGAGTTCTTTTACATGCGAGAATCCTAGTGCCCATAATCATGGTAGACACAAATTAATAATGAAAATAGCTTTTCTTACAAGTAACTTCTCATGTCCAATAAATCCAAGATAATTTGCAGAGGCAAAATTCACAACTTCTTTCCCATTAATTATTGTATGTGGCCCAGCAGCACTGCATCAAAAGCAACTTGTGAACTAAGATACTTTTCAAAAAACTAATCGATTGTTCAGAAAAAATGACTCTCAATCTTAGAATTCCACGATTCCTTGTTTTAGAGTAAATCATATAGAACAGATGTCTTACAAAAAAACATAAATTAACTGAGACATGTAAGGCAATAGTTTTAAATTGCAAAACATAAAAATTAATTAAGACGCATAAGGTAATAATTATGACTTTGTACACTATAATTTAGTGTGAACAATAATGGCAATTGAAACATATCAAATACAGGGAAAACGAGTAGTATCATTAAAGAACTTGACTTTTGTAGAGAAAGAAAGATTATGAAACTAAAGATCAGAAGATACAGGGTACCCCTTTAATCTAAAAAGTGAGACAAATAAGCAATATATCGAGGCAGCAGCATAACTTTGCTACATTCAAACAAAATGTACTATATAAATAACTTCAATTTTTTACCTTTCCAGTACTGGGGGTTCATATTGCATCTCCTCTGTGATAGGAGGAATAAGGGATTCTGGAACCCATTCATCGCATAGCTCATCTATTTCCTATTGAAGTCAAGCAAACTTTTAAGCAATGTTAGGTTGATACAACATTATGTACATCAGAGTGAATGGTAGACAAACTACTATGAAAACAATGACATTTTAGAGAAACGAATGAGCACCAGAAACAGATTAAGCGTCATAAAGGATACAAAGTAAATCTGACAAATAATCAATAAAATTTAAATGCATATGTTAAAAGATGGGGCAATTCATGAAAAACTCATATGGCTATACAGCATCAACACTTGATGGAGATTTTTCAATCTAAAAAAAATACAAACATGTGACGTATCCCCAATGAGGAAATTTTTCATAAAGCCGACCAACAATTTCCCAGCTTCTACTAACATCGTATACTTCTCTAGAACCATACATAATAAAAAAATTCACCAGCATAAGACATGTAATTAAAGCCCTTGTTACAACCCTTATCATAAGAACAGACATAAATGCATTTTTTGAACCATAATTGTGGATGAAATGACAAGTTCAAAGAAGAGCTGTCACACAAACCTTCTTCGTTAGCGGCCGCTTGGGAGGCTTGTAACTTTTCTGGGAAAGTAGGAAAAGAATGACCACAAGAAGAAGAAGTTCCACAAACAAATGGCCTATCAAGTACCGACAGAGTTCCAAAACAACCTTAATTCAGTCAGACAAGGTTTCATCCCTAAAAGATACAAAAATACCCACAAATATATTGGAATTTAGAAGTTACCGCCAATATGCACTCCAAAAACAACAGCTCGGGCAGACGGAGCATCTAGAGCCAACGTCACCCAGTTCAGTGTTGTATTAACTAATTTGAAAGCAAATGATTCCATTTTCTACAAAATTTATCACAACTTGATTAACAGAGAAGTTTCAAACATCAGTCAAGCATAATCCCGACACGCAGCAAATGAAATACCCTGCAAGCATCCATTGTTGTTCACTAAGATTGTAACGAAAACCATAAATACAGAATTACTATAAAACCACACATCTACATGGATCCACTAATAAAACAAACATAAATCAATAAATTAAACAAGAATTCGAAAATCAATGAACTCAACAAGAATCCGTAATCAATGGATTAAACACGAATTCACAAATCAATGGATTAAAAAAGAATTCCCAAATCTCATTTCTACAAAACCCTAGTTTGTTTGATTCAATTCAAAAATCATATTCGACCAAATTAAGTAGCTAAAAATTATAAAACAAAAAGAAAAAGAATTTGAAAATGAAGAGTAAATATTAAACTGATTTTAGAGAGAGTGAGAAAGGAACCTGCAGGAGATGTATTGACGGGTTTGACAGGCTGAGATCAAGAGAGACTCGCTCTCTTTCCCAGATTCAGCTTCATTTTCCAAATAATTTTCAATGTATTTAACGAGAGAATGATTTGATTTTCGCTTACTAGTTGTCCTGCCATTTAAAAATCGAATATTGACCCAGGATTTAACAGACGTTAGCGAAGATGGGTAAACGTAAGTACCCACCCAAACCCGAAAATATAAACCGAACCAGGCTGTTGATTCAAGCATGTGATGTCTTACGGGCTAATAGGGTGTAAATATAAATCCGACAAACCTAAATCGAAATATTTGTTGACAAACCTAAATCGAAATATTTGTTTTAAAACAAAAAAAGAAAATTCAATTAAGATGATTAGATTATGTAGAAATTTAGAATTTTGATTACAATAAACTCTTTTTTCGTATCACACAAGTGTAAACGCTAAAATCTACGATTATTTAAAGAAAAACTGAAAACATCGGGTTGTTGTTTGCCGTATGCATTTTGACTCTCATGTTATCAAAGATAATAAAGGTTTTTTAGTGAAGGTAAGGGAAAGAAAAGATTACCAGTAACTTAGTCAGAATCTAAAACCACGTTGACAATGTATAGCTTTCAAGAATGAGAACTAATGGGTTAGAAGTTGTAATGTTGAATGCCTAAACTGTAGGGTGACCCCTTTTTATATATTAGTCTGGGATCTTTGTATCCTATTAAGATTCTAAATCCATAAAGGAAGAGATCTAGTGAATAGGAAAATCCTGATTCACTCGCCTTCATTAGCAGCAGGAGTCTTAATTCATCCAAGATACGGAATCTTGAACGAATTAGGATTGAATCGAACAGGAAGAATCAATCCTACCTTGTTCCGGAGGCCTAGCCTTAAGTGGGTTGTCGATAACGCCCATTCGGGAGGAAGGCTAGATTTGGGCCACCGGCTTTGGCCCAAAATCATGAAATTCAACGCTAGCCCAGCTAGAGTTAGATCGTGTCCTAGGGCCATTGTAGTAGAAAATTCCTATCTGGGCCTGACTGGACCCTGGGTGATTTTTTACCCCCACAATTAGCCCCCCACTCTCTAAGCTAAAAAGTATTTTGCTTGTAGAGTAACTGGTCCGAAAGGAGGTTAATTAGGCTGAGCGGAGGTCTACCAGGACTAGCGAATGCTCTTTTGACTGAGTGCAAGTGTCATATCTTGATGAGGGATGTGAAATGTTCCCGTTGGTTGTACTCACACATTCTTATGCAATTGACTCCATTCGACTAATTGAGTCGAGTGTTAGGATGCAAGGCATGGTCCTTGCAGCTGTGTCCACTTTGCTGATTTAGTCGAGTGATAGGGTGTAAGTTGTGATCCTTGGTGGTACTTGGTCAGTTTGGAAGACCAAGGTCTTGTATAGTTTTAACATAATATACTTGTTGACTTTTGCACTTAGATAGGGTCGTCTGTCTTGTCGAGCCGAGTCTTGTTTGAGTGATTTTGTGGCGCTTTAGCAATGGGATGCATGTACTGTGTTGGGTTTCATAGAGTTTGAGCGAGAGAAGGCAAACTGCGGATCTCGAAGTGATTCCATTGTATGACACGTGTACGACAAATATTAGTTTCTACTTTTGAGCAGGAATGCAAAAGGTTGCACCCAATTGCCAGGTGCCGCATGGCCATTCTAACAGATTGGATGTGCAGAAAAAGGATAAATCCTTTAAGCTTCTCTTTGTTTTCATTTCGTCTTGGCGTTTGAATTTCTTCATCTTTTAAAACTCTCTATTGCAGTGGCAATTCAGGTGAATTTTACCTCTATTCATAGTAAAACTTCCGTTCCTCTACGAATCTCAGTTTCTTTTTCCTGTTTTCTATTTTCTTGGAGCACTTTTAGCGTGTTTAGGCTAGTTTTTTGGAGAACTTTCGAAGGGGTTTGGAGTTTTTGTATTTTTTTTTTTCTGGTTTTTCTATTCTTCTTCTCAAGAAACTAAGTATAATTAGTCCTGGGAGTGTGCCAAGTAAATAAAGTGTGATTTAGCAAGTTTTTGGTCATTGTTTGGCGAATTTGGCATTTTTGACGAAATCAAAGATTTTTTGTGTTTTCTAGGATTTTGGGGTTTTGGCTTCATCGGGTAAGGGAAGATGAAATCGATACACTTAGGATAGCCACTCAACTCATCTCAGTGTCTCTGTCTGAGCCGAGTGAAGCGTTAGATTTGGTGTGAAGGAGTTTATCGAGGTTAGATTACCCTTAGTAATTCTGTCGGTCTGCAAGACCGAGTCAAACATAAAGACTTGCTTAAATTGTCATCTGATGTCACACTTAGGATCGAGTGAGGGAAGTCATATGGAGACCGATGTGTGGGCTAAGTACGAGCAGGCTCCCACTATGGTCATAATGCCAGAAGAGCTGTTAGGAATCAATCTACCCAATGCAGAGGAAAAACAAAAATTAAAAGGATAAATCGATTCCTTTTATGCCAAGATCCAGGTATAGATTATATAGTTTACATGTTAAATCAAAATTCTGCACAAAATAATATCAGTCCAGACAAGGATCAGAGATCTTACGCACATTTGGAGGCTCCTTCAAATGTCTTTAATTCTACTTCGCTACCGATTTAATGTAAAACCGAACGAACAGTGATCCACACGAAGATAATCCAAATAACCAAAGAGCGATTTGCTAGATCCACTAATTGACTTTAAGAAATAACTTGAATTAAAGAAAATCTTTGATTCACTAACAAAGGGAAATGTGAGAGGGTGAGAGTAAAGGGTTGCCTCTTTTCTTTCAATAATGAATGAATAATTTTCTTTAACACACATGCACTTATATAGTGCATGTGCTAAAACCCTATTCCTATAAGGTATAGGTATGGGCTCCAACCCTAATCCACCCTTGTATCCAAACACCCTTGTTATGGTATTTTATTTTAATTAATTATTATTAAAATTAAAATTAATTAATATATTTATAAAATATATTAACATTTAATTAATAATAATAATTCGTTTAAATATATACGTACATATATTTAAATATAATCTCACTAATTTAATTTTAATATTAAATTAAATACAGGCAACAACATCAGCAAATTTAATTGTACTGTGAGATTACCACAATACCCTTTTGTCCTAAAAGATGAAAATAGCCTTTATACAAACTGATTCTTAAATTATCTTCTAAGTATGTGACCCGTAGGCTCCGTATCATACCGACAGTGAGTAGTATCACGATTAACACCAATTAATCGTCTCACTACACACAGACCAAGATTGGCCCATAGTAAGGCATCATAGCCATCCAATAGATTCAGATTTAGCGAAATAGCTACTTATCAACGATATGGTTACCATGCAATCAAATCTTTTCATCATCTGTTATCTCATTGAGACTAAGGTACATAAATAATGTCAACCTCAGTTACTCTCGATATCTTTGTATTCAGTTACTAGACCAATGATCAGATAAATAAATTGGATTGAGCAACAACTCAATCCCACTGTGGCCACAGCTTTAGTGTCATTGCCATACATTGAATTGTGTCGTAAGTTAACTTCTCCCTTCCTCGGGAGTGATGAATCATCTATCAATCCACCATAGTCTTGGGCTAATGTCAAACTACACCAATCAGTGCACAAGGCACTCTGGTGATCTCAAGTCTAAGGATCACATGCACCACGATTTATTAGAGGATTTGTTCCATAGATGGGGTTACCATCTATATGGAATCCTCTAGTGGGTCAGTCCAGTGAACTTGCCTACAGCAAGCACCCACGTATTGCACTAGGTTCTCGGCAAACAACCTTAACAAGTGAGATCATTCACTGCCTTTCAACAAGGTCGTTCAACACGATGATAACCTTACTGTATTATCTGTGTCCTTGGTCAGAATAAAATTGTGGCTACATATATTTCTAGAATGGCCACTATATGTGATCATAGGGTTCTCACTATCAAGATTTGAAACACTTGATACCCTCGTCACGATTCTACCATCCTAAGGACATATATCAATACATACAGATATGATTTACATGATTTAGTAAAAAATGTCTTTTTATTGATTAATAAACATTATTACAAATAGTCAATTCTACAATAATTGAATGGCTCTAGCGCACATACTCCAACAAAGGCAACATACCAATAGGAGTTCCCAAGGGGCTGAACGTAGCAATCTCCGAGCCAGGTGGTATTGCTAAGTCGAGTAGCTATAGCTCAGAGAGGCAAGGGATGAGTGGGGTAGATACAGAAGATGAGCCAAAACACTCCAAGAGCAATGCTTCAACTAGTGGCAGCTAGGTAAAGGAGCCTAGCCAACCGAGTAGTGGGATCTTGGGAGTCGAATTTTTGCCTTTACTTTTGGAGAATGATTAATGACGGATTCGGATGCAGTACTACGTTCCTAGTTCAGTAGAGATCAGTTCCCAAAGAGCTATGAACGGGTTGACTAAGAGGCAAAAGGATGGGTGAACATGTATGAGATATGGTTTCATGACGGTTTGTGCTTCCCCATACCTCAGCTCGTTTGGGAGGTGGTAAACAATTTCATGATCGCACCAACACAGATAATGTCGAACGGATGGATGTTATTGTTGTTCTTGGAACTGTATGCACTCATAACCAAGTCATGTTCGATTTGCATGAGTTTCTACATTCCTACTATCCGAAGGAGCATGACCGAGAGAAAGATAGATATGCCATCACCCTTAGGCACGATCGACTCCACTTGGTGATAAACCTGAGGTTGAGCGATAAGAACTAAAGGAGCGGTTCTTCTTCATAAAGGACAAGGCTATATTCGATGAGAGAGGTCAGGGCGAGATACCATACACATGAAAAGGCAGGGGTGAGAGACTAATTCGTGTTTATACTTATGATTACTAAGTGTTATTCTCCCTTTTTTTTGTAGAACCTGACTTTGACGGAGCTGGACAGAGCAGAGACGATCTTGACGTGACGACGATTCTCATTTCGTTCCTGCTGGGCGTATTTCAGTCTTTCAAAAGAGAAGTGGTCAGAGAAAAAAATCCTTAAAATTCAAATAAGTGAATGACCGGTTGCCATTTCGAAGGAACAGATAGACTAGAAAGTGATCTTAAAACAGTCCAACTTAAGGACGAGTCACCTTT